TTGGTGTCATCTGCAAACTTGCTGAGGGTGCACTCGATCCCACTGTCTATGTCATTGATGAAGATACTAAACAGTACTGGTCCCAATACGGACCCCTGCAGGACGCCACTCGTCACCAATCTCCATCTGGACATTGAGCCGTTGACCACTACCCTCTGGATGCAATCATCTAACCAATTCCTCACCCACCGGGCAGTGCACCCATCAAATCCATACCTTTCCAGTTTAGAGAGAAGGATGTTGTGGGGGACTGTGTCAAAGGCCATACAGAGGTCCAGATAGACGACATCCATAGCCCTTCCCGTGTCCACTGATGTAGTCACTCCATCTAGGTATCACATTATTTACTGAAAAAGAAACACTGGCAGCATGATTCTTTGCTTAGTCCTCTTGATGGAAATCAAAAGTAACTTAACTGGAGTCAATGGAGCATGAAGTGGTACGAACCCAAAGAGTACCTGCTCCTCATACCTGTTCCTCTTACCCGTGTCCACTGATGTAGTCACTCCATCTAGGTATCACATTATTTACTGAAAAAGAAACACTGGCAGCATGATTCTTTGCTTAGTCCTCTTGATGGAAATCAAAAGTAACTTAACTGGAGTCAATGGAGCATGAAGTGGTACGAACCCAAAGAGTACCTGCTCCTCATACCTGTTCCTCTTACAGCTGATAAGGATAGTGAGGTGCTGGTTTCAAATGTGCACAAAGGCTCATTTCCTTAACTAGAATTGGAATTAAAAGAAAATGGCAGATGTTTCCTTGTCCAGTGAGCCCTGTTTCCCAAAGAGCTCTGCCATTAGCATTTGCATGTTACATTCATTATTATTATTACTTTGGCTTTTTCTTGGGATTTTTTTCCCTCCTGACAGAGCAAACTTTCAATCAGACCCCAGGTCTATAGGATTTATGTTCTGCACAAACGATACCATATTCCTGAATGTCTGGAGAGCAGCCCATAGTGTTTTAACTGAAAATTTGCAAAACCATGTAATTTCTCTCTCGCATGGTCTGACTCCATAGAAGACCTCTTGATTTTAACTATAGCTGCCTGACGACAGCTGCTACACTGTATAGCATAGCAAAAATACTGAATTACCTGAGCTCGGCTTGCTTTTCTAATAGTTTAAGGAATCAATGGATTCAGGTTTGAACATTTTGCAAGGGAAATACACACTGATAGTTTTTAATGGACTAGGTATCACTCATTAAAGGTAACCTTTCTTGTTTTCCTACTGATTTCTTTTCACATATGCTAACAAGCATTAGCTTCTGAATGCTTTTTCTTGGCCTTCATTTGCAGCTATTGCTATATCTTTCCTAAGAGATGGCACCTGAAATGGAACATGGTCCTCCAAATGCAAATGCTCCATTGTTCAGTATTCTGTCGTTATATTATCTTCTGCATTATTTTTATATCCTCTTATTAATGCACCCACACACCCCATTTGCATTTTTTAACCTTTTTAAAAATGTTTTCATTACAACAATCAGATATAAGGGCAATGAAGTAAGCGTGGAACAATAGAAGTGAGGAGCTTGATTCTCCTCAGATCTATACCCATTTTAAACTTCACTGGTGACACTGATTTTGATTTACACCAAAAGGAAAGAGGGAGGGTCAAACCTAGCACATCTACACTGAGACATCCATTTTTTTATAGTTAGCAAGGAATGGTTTTGTAAAATAGTTGCAGCACACAACATGTTGTTTAGAAAAAGCACTTTTTCTTTTATCAGGAAGGAGGCTTTTTTGCAGATAGAGGACTGCGATATGGGCTAGTGTCTGAAGAGTAGTGCTGGAGGCCTGGATGCTGGCAGTGCTTGGCAGTGGCCGTGCAGGGGAAGCACCGCAGGGTGCCCATGTGTTGACTGTGTGGTTGTCCTGCACAGGCACTGAGGTTCACCCGGGCTAACCTCACAACAGTACTAGGCAGTGCGTTCTTCATTTTGGGAGTAGTTTTAGCCATTCTAGGCTGTTACCCTCGGCACAACCATGTCTGATACCTGCCCTGGGGAGTGGGCTGAAGGCAGGGCACCCTAGCTGGCTGCAGAGGAAGGTGGGGCCTTGCTTGGGAAGGAAGAGATGATAAGGGGAGATGGGAGGT